TTCATGCATCAACCGACATATTGAGTTGGGTGTTATATACAAACATCTCAAAGAGAGCTTGATGACACGACAGGCGATCACTGCGGACTAACGTGTACCGCAACTGCTAATTAGTGTTCACACCGAATGACTATTAATTGGCCACCCTGGACTGACGCAGATTACAGTCGCCAATTAGCTTTTACCCAATTACAACTACTAATTTTTTCCACAATGGAGTCACGCAAATTGCAGCTGCTAATTGGCGGTCACGCCAGATGACCATACAAGTGTACCAGCACTTTTGAAATTTAGTTGTACGTTGCACACCTTCTTAAGTCGGACAACGACCAGCATCGAAAATTTCTGAAGAAAGTTTCCTTTGCTCCCAACGGAAGTCTTCCCTTTAAATCTAACTCTGTGTTTGTTGACGCAGAATTTGATGTGCAGTGGCCAAAAACCAAAGGGAACTCCCATATTTTGTTCTGAGCTCAGCATCAAGTGTTAAAAATTATTGCGGCCTGAGTTTATGACAAATTAGACTCTTAGCTGAGCGATTGTTAGTATTTCACTAATGTAGTCTTCTCGTTGTGCCTTAGGGCTCCAAGCGTCTTCTGCGGCCGAACTCATGTATGTTGGCTTAGAACCCTTTTTGGCGTAGCCATTCTGCATAAATTGGCCGCAGAAATATTAGGCAGCATACGCTTTTTCCTCCAGCTTGCTGTACTGAATCTTGTTTCCTTTGGCCAGCTTTTATACACAACTTCGCCTGTAAGTCCCCGGATGGTGACTGTAAACGTCAAGAAGTTGTCTGCTGTTCACTGTCTACCTGCAACAAACGACTAAAGCTTCGCTACGGGTCTAGGTTTGGAATACGTTCAATATATAGTTCAGTATATTTAGGGTAGTAGGCACTGCCTTTGAAGACCCTATTGAAAACAGTATGCATGAAATAACCAACATAAAATATTTTACTATAAAAGAGTGAGTAACATATATACATGTACAAATTTTATCTATAGGTTTGTCCAAGGCGTAGATTACTCCTACTTCCTTGTGCAT